TTGAAAACAACAAAAAATTTGTTTCACTATGTCAGATACCCAATTATTGGTCAAAAGCAGGATGTTGCTCTAGATGATATTTTTTAGAACATGAATTAGAAATTTGACGATGGAGCACATTATTATTAATTTTGGGGTAATTACAAATTTATTGTAACAACAAAATTCAAACATGTAATGTAACAAGCACAATATTATAACTCAAAAAATTTTTAGCCTTGCATCCACAAGAGTATTGGAATTGCAGTTCCGAAGATGGGAATAAAGGTCTCGAAACGTCAACTAAGTGTTAGCATGTAACGTTAATAATAGAAATATACTCGATTGTTACCAATTGGAAGTTATTATTGCCAAATAACTAAAAATAAATAGACAACTTCCCAGAAAAAATAAAAAAATAAAAACAAACTATTAATATACAAGACCATACTGAAACTCATCTAGACCTACGGATTTAAACGGAGGAGGGGAGGGGGGGGCAACTAAATTTTCGGACATCAAACGGGTCCAATCCTTCCAGTCTAAAATCCTCCGTATAATAGTCAATGCTCCTTATTATGTTACGAACAAAACCTTACATCATGGCCTTAACATCCCTTATGTCATCGACGTTATTCCATCCCGATTTTCATCAGAATCTAATCCATAATCCCTTAGCACAATCCTTATCCAGTTCCAGGCATCCCTACAATCCTTCTCGAAGATTGAAACGGCATTGGCCTCGAGATCTTTTGTAAATATGTCACTGGAGTTCTGGCAATGGCCAGCTTCTCCACTTAAGTCATGAGAGTCTGTGGCTGTAGTGCTAACTTTTTTTCTCCCTTAAGAATTGTCTGTATTATTTATTTTTAAGTAATATTACAGTTTTTACCTTTGTTATATATACATTATATTTTATATATATTTTTTATGTTATTATATTGTAAATATGGTATGAATGTGCCTTAAAGTATGTACACTAAACTAAACTATAGTTATTCGATGCGTACAAAATTGACCAAAGGGTTACCAGATTTCATTTTCCTCCATAAATTTAGGTTTTATATTAATTTATATTAATGTTTTTCTTACATTTTATTTTAAGAAAATACAAGACTTACCTCTGGCATCACCATTTGGGCATATTATAAATGAATAAGAAGATTATTAGAAAAAATATCAAATAATTTCTAATTATGAAGAGAAGAATAGTTGGGGTGGTCAGTCAAAAAAGAAGGCAAAAATAAATGATAATATTTGTTTTTACATTTATTTATTTTTAAAATATTATTTTTTTAAAGTAAAAATAAATATGATCATTTATTTTTGCCTTCTTTTTTGACTGACCATCCCAACTATTCTTCTCTTCATTCATTACTAATTAAAAAATTTCTAATTATATATTAATGATGTTTCAACTCAGATTGTATAATTTTCATAAGAGTTAATTTAAAATAATGAAGGATTTAGTAAGGTTTTGAGGATTTTTTAAATGTATTTAAGGATTGAAATTTCATTTCTTCTGAAACCTACTTTGTAAAAATAAATCACTCTCGAAAGCTGAAAATCTAAACTAGTGTATTATATGGGCCATTCTCTTAGAAAGTTTCCAATTATATCCTAAGATTATAGCCATTGATTGCCTATTAATATTTTTTATTAAAAAGTAATGTCCCTATAAACTATTTAGTTAATAGTTAATAATTAATATAAATTACATGAAATCGAGGATAAATAAATTTTCAATATTTATTTATTTATCTTGTCCGGGACCATATTTTTCGAGTTCTCAGATTATTACCATTCTGGTTGGGGAAGGGGAGGTATATCCCTAAAAAAGAATTCTCGTGAGTTTATATTATGTATAAAAATTATGACTGATAATTAATATAATTAACATAATTATTGTAAAGCGGACAAAAATGATTGTACATAAAAATAAATTTAAATAATAGATTTATTTTTAGATATGAATATATTTGAAAATTTATTAACAAAACATTGCAAATATTACCTGTACCACTACAACCCATGAAGGGTCTTGGGTTCAGTACTATTTATTGAAAGCACTGTTTCTTGGCCGAAATTTCTGGAAAAAAAGTTATGAAGGAAAAGAAACTTTATTTCCGAATAACTCAAAAAGTATATATTTTTTTCTGGATTGTACTCATAATAATTAGAAAGATTACTAAATTACCTACAAAAAAAAATCGTAAAAAACAATTATTAACAACGATACAGTCCCATTAGTTTTAGTATACTTTATAATGTCTTCCCCTTTAAAGATATTCCATTTAGGAATAGAATAGTCTACTAAATTTTTTTTCTGGCTGATATATTAACTCTCTTACAAAAAAAGACTCACTTACAAAAATTACAATCCTTTCAATCTAAAATTTTAAGACTAATAACTGCAGCCCTCTGGTATGTCAACAACAAGACTTTACATACCGACCTAAGACAACTTACCATTGACCAGCACATACGTACTCTTTAGTCCCGATTTCATGTTAAACTACACGGGCATCACAATGGACTTATCAACGACATGGCCACGGCTGAAAATCTCATCAGGAGGCGACTGAAAAGTAACTGGATGAGAGATCTCCTTTCCTGATTTTAGGATGTAAACAGGACAGGGAAGAGGTGCTGCTGGGCTCCATTCTTCGTCATGCCTATCATGCCATTACAAGAAATACTTATTTCCATATTGTTTTGCTATTTCTTCACTAAAATTTTCTGTGATTTTTTCGCACTGGCAAACTAGTTGAATATAATAATAAGCCGAAAACAACATGATTTGTATAAAATTAGGATGACGTATCGAAGATGGACTCGGTTATGGAACCTTAGACAATCCTTGGAGCGTAGTAATACTCCCGGGATCAACAAGCCCCCCCCCTTTCTCCAAACTGCCGGATAAAAATTAACCGAACTGATTGGGCGACAGCCCGATTTCACGGAGTCGGATTCGGAAGCCATCTGCCACTCCTAGAGATAGCTGTATATAAATGGACTATAGAAGGGGGCCGAGTACCCGGCTCTCGGATTTGTCAAATGGCCCGTGAAACTGATTAGCATAGCCAGCTCATGATAAATCTGCCACAACGGCCCGGATAAGATAGAAACGGATCAGGATAATTTAATGGCCCAGCTGTGTGGAGATAGCCCTTATTAATTACACACTTTGGAAAATAATCGACGAGCCGAATCCGCAAGGGAAAGCGATTTTCCCCGATCTGTTCGGATCCTCCATCTTTGATCCTTTCTGTCCGTGTCCTTATTTTATCCTTCCACCTTCTATCTCGATCAAGTCCTTCCACAAAATAACTCAATGATATACAAAGGCCATAGAGAATTTCCCATAGCTAAGTGAAACCAAAAATCCTGTACCACTACAACCCATGAAGGATTCAGTATCGTATGAGGAAGCACTGTTTCATGGCCACCACTTGTGCAGAGAAGAGATCTATAACTCCTAAACGATGCATCAAAGCGAAAAATGTATTCTTTAATAAATTAGAGAACGTTACATTTTGCGTCAAACGAGTACACAATTATTATAATTTGGTTACGCGGTAAATTTTAAAACCACGGTCAACTAACGCTGATTTTTACCAAATCTGTCAAAAACCGATAAAAATTACTATAAATGGCCCTGTAACTTGGAAATGAGTTCTCTAAGAGGAAAAACCCATTGGATCAAAGTTGTAGAGCATAAAATTTTGCGTCCCCTGAGTACTGACATTTTTATTGTAGCACAATTATATATATCGAATCGGCATTCGTTATTCCTTTATAAAATTCAGTATCTTTCAACATATGGTTTACCAAAATCCTTTTCTGCTGAGAGGTGAAAAAGAGGCTTATACTGCATGTAACAGAGTCTGAACAAAAATAACTCAGTAGAATAGACACCCATACTTTTGAAATATTGAAAATCACGTTTACCTTCATTACCAATTTCTAACCAACAGTGACCTACATTAAATTAGTTAGTACTCAGTTGACGAAAAATCTCATGCTCTACAACTTTGATTCTATAGATTTTTCTCTAAGAGAACTCATTTCTAAGTTACAGGACCATTTATAGTAATTTATCTCAGTTTTTAACGAATTTGGTAAAAATCAGCGTTGGTTGACCGTGGTTTTATACCTTACCACGTAATCAAATTACGAGTTTATGTACTCGTTTGACGAACAATTTAACGTTCTTTAATTTATTAACGAAACATTTTTCGCTTCGATGCATTGTTTAGGAGTTATAAGTGGAAAAAACAAAAAATCTGACTTTTATGGTTGTAAAAAGTTTTCTTCTTGGTGACTGGCGTAAGCAATTTTGTTTTTTACATGTCTAAACCCATATATACAAGTTAAAACATAAAAACTTTTCTCACATTTTTCGCAATGGATTTCCCGTTTCAATCCTCAAATTAATGGCCTAAAATTTTTTAAATCAGCCCCCATTTTCGAAAGCATCGGCTCTGGAATGGCAGACAAGGTTCCTTTTACTCAGAATAACATACACTTTCGTAATTCACAACTAAACCTTCGCCTGCGATCAGGTCGATTTTTGGGACCATATTAATGGTGACATGATCTTATTAAAGTTATTTTTTTTAAATCTGTCCAAGACTCCCACTGAAGTCCTATACTGCCTTTTTACTGTGTTGTTTCCTTTATTAAGGAAATTTGTTAAGTTCCCAAGACGTTCTGATTCAACAGTATAAATATAGAACTGAGACATAATATCATGGCAATAATGACTAAATCTTCATTAGCTCTTAACAGAGAAGACTAAAGATAAGACAGAATGCAGCTGTGGTGAGATATGGGATTCCGCACATGCTACTATATATACTGACATATTTATAGTCATTGCAGGTTCTATCCTTGGCTTGCCTGTCCGCTTGAAGGAATTGATCGACCCTTGAAGAATGCACCAGACCTGTTCAGCTAAGTCAATTAGCCGATAAAGGTCGAATCTTGTCTTCTAATATATCTTCTTGTCTCTGTTGCAGATAACCAAGCTGAAGATAGACAGCAATCCGTTCGCCAAAGGGTTTAGAGACTCGTCCAGGCTAACGGAGTTCGAGAGGTAAATATAACATTTTTATTATCAAATTAGTTTACATAAGATGTTAGATATGTAAATAAAATAATATAGAAGGAACCTAGAGAGTAAATAGGTATTTTGTGCAAAAAAAAAAGTTTTTTGCAAAAAAGTTTAAAGTTTAAAAGTGTATTTCAGAAAAGTTTTTATATCTTTACATATATGCATCAAGAAACAAAAAAAATTGAACTAGATTTATTTTCCTGAAAATTGATCAAAAGATTTGAGTACGATTTATTTGATAAACTAAAGCAATGTAAACCGGCTTAAGGTAGATCAGTGTAAAAATTTCAATAGTCTGTCTGTCCGTGCCAAGATTTTCTCGAGAACTAGGGAACCGATTTTATTGCTTCTTTTTTTATTTTGGAGGGTTTTGACTACTGTGACACCATTTGGGTGCTCCATGTGCAATAAATGAAAAACATGTTTTTCAATAGACTGTAGCGCAAAAACGGCTCTAACGATTTTGATGAAACATTCCTATAATGTTCTAATCATTCATTCAATGCCTGTCGTTTAAAAGGTAATGAAATTCCCTACAAAGCCACATAAAAATCGTTCATTTTGGACAACTATTAACGAAGTTACAGCTACTCAATTTCCAATGTAAGATTACGGATTCATATCCGTGTATCAGATAAGGGTGAATGAGAGAATAAAGATGAATAAGTGAAAGTAAGAAAATCTGTTGCCCGCATCACACAATCTTCACTATTTCCTCTTTTTTTAACAGAAATTATTGTTTGACAATACTAAGCTATGCCAAAAAGTTTTTGATCAGCAATATTAGGAAGTATTGAAATTTTTACACTGATCTACCTTAAGCCGTTTTACTTTGCTTTAGTTTATCAAATAAATCGTACTCAAATCTTATGTTTGATCAATTTTCAGGAAAATAAATCTAATTCATTTTTTTTTCTTGATGGACATATTTAAAGATATACAAACTTTTCTGAAATAGGTAGGAAAGTTGTGTGAGTGGACACACCAAATTTTTCTATTTAATCCTTTAAAATTGAAAAAATATTTAGTTATACAGGAATAATCTCCATTTAAAAAAAAAACAAATTTTAGTACTAGTGATGGACAAATTAAATTGTTCTAGTAATTGATAAGGGATAGGTACCAGTAACAGACATGCGTCAGAAAAAAATTAAAATCTTTATTTAACTATAAAGATAACGATTAGGATAACATAAATGTTGAACTAACTCTTAGCAAAACTGTTAGTAGGTATGAAACACACTGATCTCAAGAGCACTATAGAAACAACAATGATAGGCATTGTTCTTCATTTTAGAAAAAATTAGAACTTTTAAATCATCAAGGAAGTTAATTATTTACATTTTTTTTTTAAATGAAATTTACAACTGTATTAAATGAAAAATACAAGTAAATGTGACATTGGTAACATGACATGTAGAGCATGAAGAGAAACTACCCAACTCAAACTAAAGTTCTATATTAGAAGATCCCGAGGCCATCTTTTTTTCAGACGCCTCGGAGGTTATCAGGGATCGAAGAGGAAGCAAGATTTCGGATGGTTCTGCAGTGGAAGGATAGGTATCTGGATAGGGCCAAATCGGAGACATGTGGTACGATAAGGTCGTTATGAATGATTTTATTAGTGACAAAGTAAGGAGCATTGAGGATTTTACGGAGGATTTTGGATTGTAAGGATTGGATACGAGAGAAATTCGATGGTTTAGTGTAGCCCCAAAGCTCAATTCCGTAAGTCCAAATAGGTCTTATTATTTTCATATATATGAGTCTTTTGTAATTGATTGAAAGCTGTAATTGATAGAGCGTTTGTCTAGTAAGTGCTGCAGTAGTCGAAAACGCCGGGCGGTTTGTTTGTTTATTTATGCTTTAAGGCGTAAAACATTAGTGTCATCAACGCCTGTTAGTCGGTTGTATTTTTAAACTTTTTAGAGGAGAATTAATAATTAATAATAAATAGAGTAATAAATGAAAAAGATATTTAAAATCGTATAAAAAATGAAATATATTAAAATAAATATAAAAAAAGAAAGAACAATAAAGTAAAAAATATATTGATTTTTATATTTTATTTAATAGCCTATGGATTTTAAGAAATTTTATCACTGTTTTTATATTTGATTCGTTGTTGCTTAATACTGCTGATATTTTCAGTTTTAGAGATAATTTATTTAAGCTTGAAGTATAATAAGTGCATTCTTGGAAAATATGGTTGACTGTGAGAAGGCTATTGCAATGCCGACAATTTGGTGGTGGCTGCTTAGTGATAAGATATTTAATAGTTGGCCGTTGCATTATATAGGAAGGAGATGGTCCGGGGTTGCGGTCATAAATAGGCTAAATAGTGGTAAAAGTAGACTTTGCAGGTCTTCATAAATTCTCTATCTTTTTGTATCTTGTCCGTTCTAGCTCTGATGAAGACCTGCAAAATCGGGTCGAAACGTTGGCTTTCAATAAAATAATTTTACCACTATTTAGCCTATTTATGACCGCAACCCCGGACCATCTCCTTCCTTTTTATTGATAAGATGTACGTGAGTTAGGTTCGTGTGTCCTATTCTTAACCTCCTCTCTACGATTAGGGCGACTTGATGTGATCCAGGGCTTCACCGATTTTTAATTTGCTAGGCGGGCATTCGTTTCACATGGATTGCCAACTACGTTGGGCGGTTTCTAGTCTTGTTATTTACATTCAAAGTCAACCAGTCCATAACTGGTACGTTCATCCTACTTGAACGTTTATTTCTTTGATACTACATGATAGTGTATATTATTAAAATATTTTAATTTAATTTTTATTATTATGATATAGTTTATATTTATTAAATAATAGTGATAATATATATATATATATATATATATATATATATATATATATATAAAAAGACGGATAAATAAAATACGGTTTCAGTTATTCCAGGGAGACGATGGAGTCTATGCTGGGAGAGCAGCAACTGCTGCGCGGGCAACTGCTCGACGGGAGCAGCCTCAGCCCGGAGGAGAGGGCCATCCTGGCGGCCAGGTCCCAGCTGTTCCTCCGGACCGTGGCGGTCCCCTACGGCCTCTACGGGGCGGCCGGCGGCAGTACTGGCGGCCCGCTCTGGCCGCCGTGGCCCTTCCTCCGCCCCTGCCCCCCCCTCAGGTTCAGCCCCTACCACCTACCCAGGAGTCCCAGCCCAGACCAGGACGAGGAGTCCAGGCAGTGAGCTCTGTTCCTTCTGTTATCTTATGTTTATTATATATATATATATATATATATATATATATATATATATATATATATATATATATATACATATATATAAATTGACGTTTTGCAAGTAATTTTTTTGAATAAAATCGAAATTTAAAAAAAATAAAAAATATATGTTCATCTTCTTGATTTGTAGACATAATAAAAAAAAAAAAAAAATTATTTACATATACATACACATTAAGTCATAATAATAGTTATATGATTATGGTCAAATATAATAATGTTGTATGATTGCTTTGTTTTATGCTGAAATTATTTTTTTTGTACAGTAGGAAAAATTCAATAAAAATCCTACATAAGTTATAAAAATGAATAAATAACAACAAAATTATTTACTGTCATTAAACTGCATAAACAAGAGAAAATTATACATACAATCTGATACATATCTTTTAAATGTAGACATCATGTTTTTAGAAGTTAATGACATAAGCAACGATACATCCTTGACTTACAAAAGATGGATTACTTCAGTAAAAAACAAAAAAAATCAACGGACGATATTGTTTATACTAGTGAAGTCTGAAAATGGTCTTGGTCTTGTTTTTTTATTTTCGCGAGACTGACCCAGCAAGATTAAGAGGAAGACTCGTGTCTAGCAGTTAGGTCAAACTGAGAATTGAGCATGAAACCACGTAAGTCCACGGAACAGACTCCTTTTTATGAAAGGCTTTGTCTTATCGTAATCTACAAAGTTTGTATCCACGAAAATTATTGCAAGGTAATTTGATCACAGAATTGAAAAAAGTGTAGCCTATAAAAATATTAGGTCACGCAAAACGCCGCAATATTTCTGTAGGCCACATTTTTTCTCGATTTTGTATCAGATTATCTTACGAATAATTAGAAAGCAAATGGGAACTTATGATCTTTTATAACATCATTAAATAGACAAAGTTTACCGACCTCTAAATTGAAAACACCTTAATTTATAAAACTTTTGTAAATAAAAATGTTGCCGGTTACGATAAGATGAAACTATTCACGAAGTATTCAGGCAGATGTTAATAATTTCATGAAAAGGGGTACCAAGGACTATTAATTTTGATGGTTAATCTTTGAAAATGAGTTTAATTGACAGAAAATTTATTCTTTTACCAACTTTTTTATTTCTATACGATCAATTATTATTCATGAAAAAATATAGGAATTCTGACAGAATATTTTAATACAGTAATGGACACCTAAATTTTGGGGTCAACAGATTTGTTTAAATAATTTAAAAAATCCAAAATTAATTAATTAAGACTTCTTTTTATGAGTCTCTACGACGGACTAAGACATCTTACTTCTAAAAGTTAATGATAAAACAAACAAAACATAATAAATCGGATTACGAAATATATAATAAAAAAAATAATAGAAATTAACGATATTATTATTCACCAGTGATACAAGAAAAAGGTCTTGATTTCTGTCTTTCGTTTTCGGAATACCGATTAATGATACCAAGACCAAGACCGGCGCAATAACGATACTAATAGACGTTACCGAGAATCAAAACCATGATTTTTTCCATCTAAAAACAAAAACACTACAAATTATTTGACAATGGTTTATTATTTCCAAACAATTATAAATCTAAAGTAACATTACCTTCCTAGTTACAAAGAAAAATAAATAAAAAATAATTCCAATTATTGGCCTAAACATATCAAAAACCAAAACAAGGATATATATATATATATATAACCTTTGCAGTAGAACATATAAAAAACATTTAGAGACCATATCTTTGTTCCAAATTATCTTATTATAAATATCTTTTTTTTTTTGGATTTTTTTTTCTTATATATACAAATTATGTCATATTAGTGCTTATATACTTATAGCCAAATTACCTTACACAGTTTGTAATAATGTTGTGTGATTGTTATTTTTTATGCTGAAATTTCTTTTTTTACAGTAGGAAAAATCCAATAAAAACCTATATAAGTTATAAAAATTAATAAATAACAAAAATATTATCTACTGTCATTAAACTGTATAAACAATAGAAAACTATACATACAGTCACACGTTATATATCTTATAAATTATTATTCAATATTTGATGTGGGAAGTATGTTTCTGCTTGTTTATCAATATTTAAAATGTTCAAGTTTATTTATTATCAGTCAATTTTACACCATTAATTTTTAAAATGTTGCTAACTTAATGACTACACATCTAATTACGACGTTTCGGCTCGTTGAGCCATTTTCAAGTCTAAAAAAAAATTTGTAATGTACAATCATATTTAAAACATTACATATTTCAACATATAGAGATTTATATCCAAATTACTAAAAAAAAATTGGCCCATTAGTTTTGGATGCGCGGACGGCGGACGGACAAAAAAAAAATTGTATTCGTTTTTCGATTTCTACTTATCCTGAAACGTAAAACCTCAAATTTTGAGAGGAGGTTAAGTTTTTAAATTTGTTGTTCGATCACTATGGTTCATTGTTGAAAATAATAAACCTAAATTGGTCGTTATAATATTAAAGACTATTTTATTGAATATTAATTTTTGAGATATAATATTTAATAAATAGAGTGACTTCAACAGTTTAATCTTTATTATGTTCGAATATCAAGAAGGTGTACATTATTTTTTACAGATATAATTTTTTTCAAATTGTGACTGTTTTGATAATTATCACTCACTTGCACATTGTATTTATTAGTTGCTGATTCACACATGATATGAATTGATTCACCCATATATTTTTAATTAAATATAATATATTTTGAATTTGATTTGAGAATAATGAAGTCATAAAATCTTTAAGAAATAAACAAGATTTTTGAAAAATAAATAATTAAGAAATTTTGAAAATTGAATTAATCATATATTATAATAATAAATAAACGTTACTTTGAAACGTAATTAATTTTTATTTTCTTTAATAAAATGCCAACGATTTTGTTTCTTAAATTAATCCAAATCCAAATATAATTTTACTTAACAACTCAAGCAAGAAGAAAAAGATTTAAAGTTTGCATTGCGAGAGATATTCATGCAAGGAGTTAATCTATATTTCATTACAATTAATTCACTCCTAATTGAAGAGATTGTAATTAATATGAAAACTATAAAATTTCATTTTAGTTATATGAAGCTTGACTTTATAAAAAAAAAATAATAAAGAGGATATCAGTTAGAAGTTTAAATATTTTTTTTCAAAATTTCATTATTTGTTTGATTTAAAATTTTTTTTTTTATTTTAGTAAATTCGTTTAATAATTTTATAGTTGTTCTCCGAAACTTAGAGTTCCTCACTTTCATTAATAATATGATTTTGTATAAACATTAAAGTGTGTATAAGCAACTATGAGAGTCATTCATAAGACATATCCATTTGCCTTTTTACTTACAAAGCTTATGTAATAAATTGTATTATAGGTATATATTATTTATTATAAGTAGTGATACATACATATTATGTTGATAGATGGTGCTAATGTATGATTTATGTTGATTTAATAATTAATTGTCCTTTAATTAACTTTTTTTTTTAAAAATAATTTCGTCTTGAGGAAGGACGAATTGTTGAAATTGCCTTGTGGGCTTTGTTAAATTTTTTCAATGTATATAATAAATACGAAATTAATATTCGAGGTTTTAAACCTTACAAAAAAAAAAAAGGTCATTGTATTTATAAATGTTTATATAATAATGGAATTTATCTTACATTCTGAAATAATATGTAACTTAAATATTAACATTATAAACTAAATTTTACATCTTATTTTTATCAAAAGAAACATTTCAAATTAAGATAAATTTATTTAATTCATGTATCCAAATCATAGAATGTTATTGTGGTAAATATATGTATAATTTTAAATGGTGATATGAACCTGTTAATAAAATATTCAAACTTATTAAGCTTTCATATATATAAATACATATTTATGGATTAGTTATTAAATTTATATATTAATATGTATATAAAATTTATGCTATGTATTGTAAATCATTATAAAATTTTAACTTAAATATAATTAAAGAATTGCAGTTTTTTTTTAACCTTTAACACCCACCAATAATTTCAATTATAGATTAATGAAGAAAGAATTTTCAATTGTAAGTGACTTCTGGATTATTTTAATTTTTTTTTATATTTAATTAAAAAATCACAAAACATCAAGACACTACACAAGCCCCACTAACGTCACATCACTTAGATAAATTACATGATTGGTACAAATTGTAGAAAATTCGACTAAACCACGAAAATCGAAACACGTCACATTTATACTTCAGTTAACGAATCGGAGACAGTGGAGACTTTATAAATAATGGTTTATTCATTATGTTACAAATGGCATCTAAAATATAATATTAGTAATATAGTATGGACATATGAGTTGGCTACATCAGTTCACTCCAGGTCTCCTACAGTGAAGAGTCTGACTCAAGAATGCAACTGTATGAGTGGTTTGGTCTTAGCAGGATAGGGGTTACATGCTCAGAAATAGTAGGGGGGATGAATCAATTTTGGTCGGTCTGGTGAATGAAGTTAAGAATTGATATGAAGTCTGTGGGAGAAGTCGGAAGAGGGCGGCAAAGGAAGTTATCAATAGTTAATATTCTTAAGATGTCTGTGAGAAAGTGCCCTTTGGCTGAAATCGGTTATTGTTCCCTAAGTCTTGATAAGTGTCTTCTGTCCAGTCAGTACATTCTAGATAACTATTTCTAAGCTATCAGAGATAGCTTGACCTGGCTATCTAGGGATTTGATAGAGGTCAACGAATGATTAAATGATTAACTTAAATTAAAGTAAATATTAATAGTTTTTACGGATTAAGTCCATTCCGTAACTCTTCGAAAAAATAAGTGTCCTCCAATTTATATCGAAAACAACCAAATTCCTTAGATGGCCACCGTACACTATCTTTGTCTAACCTTTGACAGAAGTATGAAGTTAAAATGATACAAAAGACACTCAA